ATTATTATTATTATTATTATTGTTATTATTATTATTTATTATTATTATTATTATTATTATTATTTGTTTAATTGTTGCATTTATTTGTTCGAACAATAATTTCAATATTTTCCGAACAATAAACACTAATTAATTTAATTAATTTTGTTGATTTATTTTATTATTCGTATTTTCTTTTTCCCACTATTTAATAATTAATCAAAATACACTTACATCTTTAATCATTTATCAATTGATAATTTCCTTATTTGTTTATCAAATTTAACAATAAACCGATTAGATGGAATTAATGTGAATGAGTTATTTAGTAATACTATTCCCTCTTTCCTGCTATCCCAATTCCAACAGACAATATTTCTAACAGATTTGGTCATTTGGGATTGTAGGAAGTGAGGTCGATCGACACGGTGGATGATCGATTGTGACAATCGTTCGAAGTCAGATGGCCTTCGTCCATCTTATCGTCCTCTCTTTTCCTCACCGATATCATTGATCAAAAAATCCAATGAATGTACGAGAAATATAATACAGCAATATTTTCTAATTTCATTATTATTGTTATTGTTATTGTTGTTGTTGTTATTGTTATTATTATTGTTGTTGTTGTTATTATTCTTGTTGTTGTTATTGTTGTTGTTTTTATTCTTGTTGTTGTTGTTTTTATTCCTGTTGTTGTTGTTATTGTTATTGTTATTATTATTGTTGTTGTTGTTATTATTCTTGTTGTTGTTATTGTTGTTGTTGTTGTTCTTATTCCTGTTATTGTTGTTATTGTTACTGTTGTTGTTATAATTGTTATTGATGCTACTGTAATTGTTATTACTACTGTTATTTATTGTTGTCTTAATTATTGTTAATCTTATTAATTACCCACTATTATCAACTTTTTTTTTCTTTGCTATAATTTTTATTGCTATTTTACTAATAATATATTCCCATTATTATTGTTATTGCAATTATTATTATTCTAATATTTATAACTTTTACTATTATTTATTAAAATAATTGTTTACTACAATAATTTAATTTATTACGATTTTTTTTTTTTAAAGTATTACGTAAACTTTTCAAAGTTAATTTTTTTTCTATATCAAAAAAAAAAAAAAGGAAAACCTTTTCTAACATCTTATCAATTAATCATTTTTAAAATTTGATCCTTCATATCCTTCCTCATTTTCTTGAATCTCGACATTTTGCTTTAAATATAATCATTCATTCATCTGCTCTTTTAACAAAAAAAAAAAACGAAAAAGTTATCAATCAAAAAAAAAGAAAAGATTTGAAAGGTTATAGGGTATGCGACAAGATATAAGCATAAGATTTGACAGAAAAGAGGACAACGATGGTTTTAGTTTATCATTCTATTTTTACAATCATTAATTTTATCCACAAGATTTAAAGTACCGCTTCTGGATTGTATGCATTTTTGATTTATTAATTACATTTGAGGCATCATCTTCTTGCCAATTTCTTCTTTTTCCTTTTTCTTTTTTTGAAATTTATTTTATGAAATTAAATCATTCATACAGATATTTATTCAATTCTTTTATTTCTACTCTTCATTTGTTACATGAATATTAAATCAGTAATTTTATTAGCTAATTAAATTGTTAATTATTTCAACTAATTATCACATACTACTTCATTATTTTAAAAGTAAATTAAATGATGCTATCAAATACATTAATATGCATCGAACTAATTGTTAGCTATTAATTAATTAGTTTTGATTGATTGCTATCTTTGATCATAAAAAATAATTAGGCATAAAATATGAAATGAATGCAAAAAAAGAAAGAAGAAAAAAAAGGAAAATATGACGAAGATTATGCAATATGAATATAATTTGAACATTTATCATAAATATTTGTTAAATAAGATCATTCACAAATGACCAATATGTCCATTTTATAGCAATAATTTCATTTTTGTGACTTATCTATCGATGACCACTGTCCACTATAATCATCAGTGATGCAACAAATCCGAATGAGACACATGTCAATTTTCAATTCTAGAACATCATGTTGCATAATGATATCTGTGTGTGTGTGTGTGTATGTGTATGTGTGTATGTGTGTGTGTGCTAAAAGAGACAGAAAGCATTTGATTGATAACAAGTTTTTTTTTTCTTCTGAAAAGATTGGATAGCAAAAAAAAAAAAGAGAGATGAGATGGTTTTGGTGACACGATAAGAATCGAAACACATTCATTAATATAAGCTGAGACAAGAGGAACGACGAAGAGATCTTTGTCATACGATATATTTTAAAATAGTAATTTGTCATTATTCTCAAAAAATTTACTTTCTTCTTTTTAATATTTTAAAATATCAATGTTTTTCTTTTTCCCACTTTTTTATAAATTATCTTTAAAACTTTCATTTTTTTTCTGTTAAAAAAAAAAAATTTTTTCGGCATTTGTTTTTCCCGAAAATTCTAAGAATTACTAAAAGTAATGGTGAATTGTTAAAATTATATGAATGGTTTTCTTTGTTTCAAATTTTCTGTAATTTTCTTTAAAATTCCAGCAATTACTATAAATGAATAGCAAATTGTTGGAAATTCCGGAAATTACTACAAATGAACA